ATTTTCACTTATCAAACCTTTTGTCTGATCATCCAAACATGAAGGTACAACTGTTTAGTGCTAAATCTAATTTGTGGGTCTGAGTACTCATCTTGGTGCCTTTGCATCCCATCTTTATACTAAGACCTCCTTTGAACAGGCAGTGGTGATTGATGAGGTGGACTCTTTTCTCTTTCGCCCACGTTTGACTCCACAAGCAAAATATCATGCAGTATGTCCTATCATAAAGATAACACTACTATTAGTTTAATCGCTACCATAATCTGGACCAAGCTTGTAGCACTACTACTCGTTTCAGCTTCCACAGTACATTTTTGTTTGATTGTTTGCCCATAAAATGTTATTGAAATATTGAGTTATATGCATAGGCTTAAGCTGTCTTACCAAAGTAATTAGGCAGTGAGAACATCCGACAATAACATCATGAAGCGAAGGAGAATTTTTTCTTTTCCTTTTCTAGACAAGATCATGAGACACTGGTATTCTTCCTCTTTAACATGTTTACATATGAGCACGCATGTCTTTGTCAGAGACCCTATGGCCAAAGTGCATCAGTATTTAATGTTTCTGTCCATTCCCATTTTGTCTGAAGCGTGTGTACATGTAGACAATCTATTAATCTGAATTTTAATATAGAAAATTAGCAATTTTCTTCTTGTTCTTGATTACATCCAATTTGCTAATTTGTGTATTAAAATTATTAGTACTTAAGAGCCATGGATTTGAACTCAAATGTCACTATACTGCCTGCATTCACTTTGAATTGGTGCAACTTACGAACCTTGTTGAACAAAACTTTTACATATGCAGGTTAACTTTTTGAGCCAAATGCGTCTAACTCATAAAGGAGATGGACCAAAGGTGGCAAAACGTTTAATCGATGTTTACTTTTCACTTTTCAAGGTAATGATGAACCGTATTATCTTTTGATTATATTTCTCATTCATCACACTTATGATTTCTGTCCCTATTACACATCCTTTATATCATTGCATTATGATCATTTTGTTGGAATACATTATGATTATGGCCGAGTTATGTAAATAGAAAATGAATGTTCGCAAAGTAAAATTTCAGGTACTTATTAATGAAGCTAATGCTGGTGAAAAGATGGATAAAAAAGGGAAAGCATGGTCTAAAAAACCACTCAGTTCTAATGAGGATAAGACTTCATCGGATTCTCATGTTGAATTGGATTCACGCCTTCTATCAGCTCTACTGGTGGTTAGTACAAATACTTCTTGGGTCTACCGTATATATGGGATGCATCCTTTGCTTTCATAACAATGTACCTGTCATCTCAGATGTTCCTCTTGGTGCCCTTACAAGCTTTAGTTACTCGTACTGGAAAAGAAAAAAAAGAAAAAAGAGAGCAAAAAGCTAGGCATAAATTATGGGCTTAGAAAAACATTTTCCTATGAACTTACTAACTACTTCTGCGTCCCTTTCACAGGGAGTCAATAGAGCATTTCCCTTTGTCTCAAGCAATGAGGCCGATGACATTGTTGAGGTCCAAACACCAATGCTTTTCCAGCTGGTAAGCTCAGAGCTTTGCTATTCATTACTTGGTAGATGAGATGTATCTGCGCTTGGAATTTAATCCGGACACTTGTGCAGGTTCATTCTAAGAATTTTAACGTAGGAGTTCAAGCATTAATGCTTCTCGATAAGATCTCGTCTAAGAATCAAATCATCAGTGATAGATTTTACAGGGCCTTGTACTCAAAACTACTACTTCCAGCTGCCATGAATACTTCTAAGGCAAGTGGAGCTGGATTTGTAATTTTGTATATACTCTTTATTTTACTGTTTTTGGTTTGTGCTTTTTCTTACGAGTTGTCCGTCACACTTGATTATGGTCTTTGAGAAACTTTTTTTGGGTTCAACAAGGTTCACTTGACTCCATTATCAGCTTCAGCAGAAGTTGGGTAGTTTTATAGTATGCAACAATTTTGATTCCTTTCATCCAGTTATATTCTCACTGTCTTTATATGGCTTGCTTTTTAGGCTGAAATGTTTATTGGACTTATTCTGAGGGCAATGAAAAATGATGTGAACTTGAAGCGTGCGGCTGCGTTCGCAAAGCGTGTATTGCAGGTATGCACTTATTGTTCTTATGTTTGTGTCACATACAAGTACAGTCCTGTATCACTCTACACGTTTTTCTTTTCTCTGGGTTACCTACCTTGCTAATAAAACCCACAAAATGGAATTTGCATCTGTTGGGCTACATTTTTTTTTGAGAAGACATCTGTTGGGCTACATTAATTGGGGATTCTTGAAGTTTTTAATGTTAATGTATGCTTCTTGGAGGAAACTATGCGTTGAGCAATTGAGGTTGGTGACTCATGTGCGGCACTTCTGTGGATTTATAACTAATAACTGATTTGAACAGGTTGCGCTTCAGCAGCCACCTCAATATGCATGTGGATGTCTCTTCCTTCTCTCTGAAGTTCTTAAAGCAAGACCTCTGTTATGGTAAGCAGTTGCTGTTTTGGAGATCTGTGCCATAGATTTACTCAACATGGTCAAATAAACAGTTTTCTATTACGCCATCCCCACACAGGAACATGGTGCTTCAGAATGAGTCAGTTGATGATGAACTTGAGCATTTTGAAGATGTTCGAGAAGAAACTGATGATAAACCCACCCCTGTGCCAGAGAAACAAGAACTTGATGTTGAGCTTATGCACAGCAATGATGCTGTCAATTCTGACCATGATTCTTTAGAAGATGATGAGGAGTCCGCTGCCTCTTATTCTGATGATGAAGGTTCTGATGAAGCAGAGGAGTTTCTTGTGACAAAAGGTCAAAATGATCCCAAACCAGCCCTTGCTGGTGGGCAACAACCACAAGCATCATCTGAGAGCCCTCGCTTGCCTGGAGGCTATGATCCACGACACAGAGAGCCCTCTTATTGGTTAGTTATCTTTTCCAAGCTTCTGTACACATCAATGCTAGAATCAATATTCTTCTGGCAGTTAGCGCAATATATCATACTTTGTTAGTCAAGAAGAATGGTGACAGAAAAAGTACAGGTCAAACAAAATTTTCTTTTATAACAACTCACTGCAGGATTTCTTATACTTTGCACCCTTTTTTTTTTACTTTGAATTTTCTGTTAACTTTCTAATTCTCATTTCTTTATGAGTGAACAGTAATGCGGATCGTGTGAGCTGGTGGGAGCTGACAGTACTTTCTTCACATGTGCACCCTTCAGTTTCTACCATGGCAAAGACTCTACTCTCTGGGGCGAACATTGTCTACAATGGAAACCCGCTGAATGACCTATCACTTACTGCTTTTCTGGACAAGTTTATGGAGAAGAAACCAAAGCAAAGCGCATGGCATGGCGGTTCACAAATTGAACCTGCTAAAAAGGTCAGCTTGTTTTTATTTGCTTCTCTTGTTTTCTTCTCTCATTCTGCCGAATGATTGATGGGGGACCATAGTTATGGGCAGTGCTGAAATATTAGGCCCCTTCATCTGCAATGCTAACTGAGCTTTTTTTGTTCCAGCTTGACATGGCCAACCAATTAATCGGACCCGAGATTCTCTCATTGGCCGAGGAAGATGTAGCCCCGGAAGATCTTGTCTTCCACAAGTTCTATATGAACAAAATGAATTCTTCAAAGAAACCAAAGAAGAAAAAGAAGAAATCAACTGAAGATGAAGGCGCTGCAGATTTGTTTGACGTGGATGGGGGTGGCGGTGATGATAGTGATAACGAAGAGATTGACAATATGCTGGATTCTGCTGGTGTTTCTATCGAAGCAGACGGTGACTATGATTATGATGATCTGGACCAAGTTGCCAATGAAGATGATGAAGACTTGGTTGCTAATGTCAGTGATACTGAGCTGGACCTTCCCTCGGACAGTGGGGAGGGAGAAGACTTTGATGCCATTGCGGACGATGGCCTGAGTGATGATGATGATGATGCTATTGATATAGGAGATGCAGACGATGGTGACATTGACATAGGTGATGCAGACGATGATGATGACATTGACATAGGAGATGCAGATGACAGCTTTGAAGAGGATGAGGACGAGAAGAATGTTAAAAGCAAAAGTAAACGGAAGCGAGGGAAGTCTGGAGCGTCGCCGTTTGCAAGTCTTGAAGAATTTGAGCATCTGTTGAATGATAATGTTCCTGCTGAAAAGGAATCTAGAAAGAAGAAGCCAAAGTCACGAAAGAAGAGAAAGTCATTCGATTAGGACCTACCTTGCCTTCTTCGTCGGAGTCCCCTTCAAAAAACATCAGAACATTTTGTTTTGAGCCTCCTAAATATATTGTACCGTTGACATTTTTTGCCGGAAAAACGTCTGAAATTTTGTTTCGAACTCAGCTGATTGTACCAATAACCATTTTTACCCGTTGGCTTTTAATGAAAACCTCTACAGCATTGTTTTGTTATTACTTAGGAACCGTGATAACCATTTCATTTTCAGTCTTTCACCGTTTTGTAACTCGCCAAAAATTGAAAGTCAAATTTTAAATAAACTAAAAACAATAATGGTCAACAAACAAACAGCCCATTGGTATTCAAAATTAAAGTGAGATGAAAATGTTCGGATTTCCTTGCTTACACCAATTTGAGTTAAAATAATCAATCATTTAGTATTACAATTTAATATTAATTTTCATTTGTAATTAAAAAGTTTTAAATTTGATTTTAATCAAAAACAAATTTAAACTACATCATTATATTTGGCTCATATTGAAACTGATGCCACTAATTAAAGTTAAAATAGTCCCAGTCCAATGATAATCTTCTTCACTTATAATTAAAGAGTTTTAAATTTGATTTTCGTCAAAAACGAGCTTAAACCACATCATTATGATACTCATTGTGAAACTTATCCCACTCCACATTATTATGATACTCATTGTGAAACTTATGCCAATTCAAGATAATTTTTAGTGAGGTGGTTTTATTGCTTATTCTTCTCTTTGTTCTTAAGCTTTATTTGTGTACAATCTTTCCAAAACCCGTATAAAACAGAAATAGACGCTTGTTGAATAATCTCCAAAACAACACGAGGAACGTAAAACCCTAACAACTCCAAGTTCAGCCAGTCTTTCCAACATACAGCACTAACAGAGTAGCATCCATATTGTAGCCCTAACAGAGAAAACCCTAAACGCTAGAACTAGAACCTACACGTGAAATCCAGCTCGTGTTTCTCTATTTATGTTGCCCTATCCGCTTCAGGAGATGGAGACTTTAACAGTCTTGGGCTTGGGAGGGGGAGGAAGCTTCTCAACCACCACAGTCAGAACCCCGTTCTCACATTTCGCATTAATGGCTCCTACATTGGCATTGTCGGGCAACCGGAACTTCCTCAGTAGCTTCTGGGCCGCTCTCCTCTCCAGCCTGATATACTTGCACCCCTCCTCCTCACCGTCTTCGCGCTTTCTCTTCCCATTGCTCCGGATCACCAGAGTGTTCTCGTCTTCAACCGTCACCTGGATTGCATAACCAAATCTGTTTACCCTCACAATGCATCAGCCTTAAAAAAAAAAAAAAAGTGCAGGACATGTATTATTTACCTAAAGGCCGATTGAGCATACATCTCCTAGCTACTCCTAGCTACCTTTTTTTCCCATGATTCAAGAAATATTATAATTAATCTAATCGAAACTTGAGGAGGAAGATCCGAAGACAGGTACATACGAGAGGACACTGCTCTAGCCAACCTAGTTAAACCAAAACGCATAACCTAATTTCTTGATCACGATAAAAAAGAAAGAAGCAATTGTACCAAAATCAAGCATTTATACCTGAATGTCAGATTTGGATAGGCCAGGCACATCCAAGAAAAATATGTACTCCTTGGGAGTGTCCAAAATGTCAACCGGAATGCTGGACACACCTTTGTTATCGTTACCGGTCTCGTGAGCCCGAGACGGAAACATGAGCTTCTCAATGGCCTCTGGGAAGTTCAGCAGCTGGTTCACCACTTCGAACGCACTCAAATCCGCTGCTCGGCTCATTTTTCACCAAAGATTGAGAATTCGCAAGCACAAAAATCTGATAATATTAAGAGAAAGTTTAGTAAACCATTAGCAAAGCAATCAAGAGGAGAGATTTGATGGAGAAATATGGGTAAAGTCGAAAGATTTGGTGACCCATTTGAGATAAACGCCTGTTTGCTAAAAAAATTCAGCGATAAGGGAATTTAAGCTGTTTGTTTCTCGGGAAAGTTAAAGAGAAAACGAAAGAAAACACCGAGTTTCCGAGAAATTGAGAATAGAAGTTGACATAATCAAGTGAAGAAACTAAAAGAAAAGTGACATGGAAAAGATTCTTACATGAAGAAAGTTGTTTGATTAGCGCGGGAAAGCGTTTGGTAGGACGAGAGATTTGCAGCGACTGATTGCTTGGTTAGTGAGAAAATTGTGGGATATAAAAAAGCAGAGAGTGGAAATTTCGGGAGAATGGAGCTACCGTCTAGAACAATCGCGGGGTTATCAGCAAATAGAACCTCGGTTATTGAAGGATCCTGACCTTACACGTTTCCCATTCACCGAATTGTGGAACCCTCCCACGGTGTGATTGGTTTTACGTGGCTGGACAAGAAGCCACTACGTGTGCATGTGCTTACCAATAGACATGACAATATCTTACCGGACTCATTAACACGATACGTAAAAATAACAAGTTTTGGGTTAACACGATAATTAATCGGATCGTTATCGGGTCACACAATAATGAGTTCTTAATAGGTTTACACAAAGATGACAGTCAGGTAACTCGTTTCGACACGTTAAGAAAAAAGTTATTTTGATGGTTTCAATTTTGTAAACTACTAAAAATTATCGAGTAATTTTAAATGCCAAATACAGTAAAAAAATTATAATACTTAATTTAAAAGTGCGAAAATGTGAAAAAATATGCAAATGTTCGTGATCGCATCCTCTATCTTTGAGTATGACTACATCATCGTTTGAACTTTTAAAACCAAAACAAACTCTCATGAATAGTTTTTTTAAGGGAGTCAAAATAAATAAAATTCATAATTATTAACGTACAAGTTTGACAAATGTGAAAGCATATACAAACATGCAAAGTTCCTCAACCTTGAAACGCAACTCCTGCATATTCTTGAATATTTGGTATTTTGTAGTAATGTATTAATGTTTTTTTATTAGGCTCTTGTTTTGAAGTATGTAATACTTTAAGGGAATTGTTATTAGCACTCTAAAAATCTCATTTGGTACTCCAAACTTTCTATAATTAGAAAGAAAAATACACTTGTGAGGAGTGTAGAATGAGATTTTTGGAGTGCTAATAACAATTCCCTACTTTAAAGACGAATATTTATTTTTATGTTGTGAATAATATTTATGCGACAATATGATATGTATATATTAATTTAATATTATGTTTTCCATTTTTTTTGGTCAAATTATGTTTTTCATTTTCATTATTTATTAATTTAAAATATTTTTTAATGGGTAGCGGGTTGGATCATATTACCTGATAATATTAACGGGTCGATTTTGGATTGGGTCATATTACTCGTTTACCTCAACAGGTGTTATACAACACGACCCGTTAATATATCGGGTATGTCACGAAAATGACACGAACATAAAAAACATGACACAAATGCCAGGTCTACTTACCATCATGGAAATAGACGCTCATTCTTTTTAACTTTCTATACACTTCTTAATTTTTAGCCGTCCAAAATTTGAACATGATCAAGGGACAAAAATTAACATGGAGTGTGTGTGAAGTAAAAAGATGTGTGTGGATAGTAAAGATGACAATTCAACATGTTCAACCCGATAACCGTGGATTATTGGCCTAATGGGCAAATTTGGAGATGAAAATTCGGGTATTTTTCAAATTTGGAGAAAAATCGTGTGTATTCTTTTGTTACGGGTTCAGATATGTATATAGCGGTCCCTATTAGTATTCGTCCCCAAATCCCTCCTGAATATAATATTATATAATATATATGTATATTTACAAGTATTGAAATTATTTGATAATTTATTTTGTGTTTCTCCCATAATGGTTGTTGTATTCGCTTTTGTCATCCCTTCCCTTTTTTCTTGGGACTAATTTACCTTATTTGGTATCGTATTTGGTTTATTGTGAACGCTTCTAGAGAATATTGTTATGTTTTTTTTAATGATTTGAATGTGAATGTTTAGTATTTACTAAATTGTAATATGTTAGTTGAACGAATAATTTTATTGCATTGATGAAAATGAATATACATTTAACTGATGGGGAAACCGTTATCCAGTGGTATTGTTATCGATAATCCCCGATGATTAATTTCCGTTATGTATATGATTAAATTTTGTGCTTATGGAAATGGATATGACATTTCTGTCCTCAAGCCGAACTGTTGCCATAGCATGTGGTAGCACCCACCCTTCATAAATAAGCCGAATGGACCGGAATTTGGAAATTTTTTTACGTAGCATTAAATAATATGAAAATAAATTACTAAGATTGAAAATAAAAGATTTAAACAATTATACAAATCAAATCTAATGAATAAAACACTTGAAGCATTAAATTTGGCCTAAATAGAATTATAGAATATAAATTGATAATTACAATAACAATTCGATCTACTATTTTGTTAAATCAAATGAAACCAAAAGGGCACAAACGTATTACTAAGTGGAGAGGAAGTATGCACAAGGGAACTACTGTAAAGAGACATCCCGAGGGAAATTATGCAACAACCTTTTAATGATCTTGTAATTGTTAGTACAAAAGCATTATTTAATATGAGTCATCTCTAACAAACGTCAATCAATATTGAAAAGGCTTTTCATCTGTTTCTTCTTTGTTGCTTCCTAGGGTTTACTGCTATTTTCTACTTAATGAAAAATAAAGATGTTTACGACTAATTAAGTTGTGTACTACCTTTAATCAAGATGGTAACTGGTCGTCGGACCTTGTAAATATGGCCTGAGTTCTCTTTGTAAAGGGTTTAGTTTTCTTCACTTCATAAGAAAAACTAGAGAGTTATATAATATTTTATAATTAGTAATATCACGTACACGTCATATATAGATTGAGATGGTTGTAAACAATCTTCTTCTCATAAAATATTAATTTTTGTTTTTGACCAAACTATTAACTGCATGCATGCGAAGATGTACATATAAAATGTCCAAATTGAACGTGATTACATGGATCAAGAGTTTGATATTACAGGAGACCACTCTCTCTCTCTAAACATTAGAGATTTGAACTTCAGATTTTGGCTTTTCATCATCCTCATGTTAACGTAGAAAGATCGAGAGATACAGCTAGGGTTTCAAGAACGAGAGAGAGAGAGAGAGAGAGAGAGAGAGAGAGAGAGAGAGAGAGAGAGAGAGAGAGAGAGAGAGAGAGAGAGAGAGAGAGAGAGAGAGAGAGAGAGAGAGAGAGAGAGAGAGAGAGAGAGAGAGAGAGAGAGAGAGAGAGAGAATCTGTCATGTATGCTTTTCTTACTCATCAAGATATTACATTGGTGTATATATAGAGAATAAAATCTCTAACTAACTAACTAACTAAGAGATACAATCTTATGACACTTAGCATGATCCTAACCATTTTCTATATTCTTACATCCCCCCGCAAACTCATGCTTAGGGACACCAAGCATGAGGTTGAAGCAATGAGATCGAAATAGAGGAGTACTGAGACCCTTTGTTAGTATGTCTGCAAATTGTTCTCGGGAGGAAACAAACTGAACAAGGAGCTTTTTCTTAGCGACCCGTTCTCTCACATAGTGCACGTCAATCTCTATATGCTTTATCCATTGATGCTGGACAGGGTTGAACGATAATGCAATAGCAGAAAGATTATCACAGAAAAGCACAGGAGCATTAGTAGGTATTACATGCATGAACTACAGTAATTGCTGGATCCAGTCAAGTTCAACAGATGTGGTCGACATAGCTTGATACTCAGCCTCTGTAAAAGATTGAGATACCATATTTTGTTTCTTGGAGGACCACGACATGAGGTTGTTACCCAGAAACACAACCATGCCAGTAGTTGAATGTCGATCATTAGGGTCTTTTGCCCAGTCCGCGTCACTAAATGCCTTCAAGGACAAATCACCCCGAGTATAAGAAATGCCAACTAATAATGTACCCTTAAGATATCTCAAGATATGTTTAACTGCTGTGAAGTGAGACACCATTGGAGACTGCATAAATTGGTAAACTTGATGAACTGAGAAGGCAATATCAGGGCGAGTAAATATAAGATATTGTAATGCACCAATGATGCTCCTATATGTAGTTGGATTGTTATAAGGGGTACCATCACCCTTAAGCAGTCTGTTGTAGGGAAGACATGGTGTGTCACAAGCTTTACATTCCACCATCTCAACTTTTTCCAATAGATCTTGTATATACTTTGTCTGTGACAGAAATACACCTTGAGTAGTCTTGGTGATTTGAATCCCCAGAAAGTAATGAAGCTCTCCCAAGTCTTTGATATCAAACTCAGTGGCAAGAGACTGAATGACTTGTTGAATAACTATAGAAGAACTCCCAGAGATAATAATATCATCCATATATAGTAAAAGAATGACAATATCACTTTCAACAGCCTTGACAAATAATGAAGAGTCAGAATATGTAGACTGGAATCCGAGAGAGGGAAGAAAGCTTGTGAATCTCTCATTCCAGGCTCAGGGAGCCTGTTTTAAACCATACAATAACTTGTGCATTTTACAAACTAAATCAGGCCAAGAAGTGTCCTCAAAATCAAGTGGTTGAGCCATATATACCTCTTCATTCAATACTCTATGCATAAATGCATTCTTGACATCCAACTGCCTAAGTGGCCAATTAAAGTGAGCTGCCATGGCTAGAACTAAGCGCACAGTGGTTGGCTTAACTACTGGGCTAAATGTCTCCCCATAATCCAAGCCAAGTTCTTGACTAAACCCCTTAGCAACCAATCGAGCCTTATGTCGAGCAATTGAGCCATTTGAATTCTTTTTAAGTTTAAACACCCATTTGCAACCAACTAGATTCTTGTTGGATGGTAGAGGAACTAAGCTCCAAGTTTGTTGATGCTGCAATGCAACAAGTTTTTTTCTCATAGCATTCAACCAAACTGACACTTTTAATGCAGATTTATAAGTGGCAGGTTCCACTTGAGTGAGATCAACAACACTAGAATCATGAACCTTGCTGAGAAACACTTTCTTCTTGACTATACCATCTTTACTCCTAGTTTTCATAGGATGCAAATTAAGTGGCGCAATGGGCAAGACCACTTGAAGAAGGTCAGGTTTAAAATTAGGATCTACAGGGAGTGAAGTTGATGAGCTTGCAGGTGCAGTAATGGACTGAGGTGAAACATGATCAGATGATGCTAGTGGTATATGATCAGGGAGAGATTGTATGGATCCAGGAGACTGTTGAATTGATGGTGATGATGTGTGAGCACCAGATGATGGAGATGAAGATTGAGATTGTGATGGTGGGGTTT